TCTCCTCCTTCTTCTTCTTCTTCTCCTCCTTCTCCTTCTCCTTTTCCTTCTTCTTCTTCTCCTTCTTCTTCTCCTGCTTCTTCTCCTCCTCCTCCTTCTTCTTCTTCCTCTTCTTCTCGTTCTTCTTCCTCATCTCCTCCTTCTCCTTCTCCTTCTCCTTCTCCTTCTCCTTCTCCTTCTCCTTCTCCTTCTCCTTCTCCTTCTCCTTCTCCTTCTCCTTCTCCTTCTCCTTCTCCTTCTCCTTCTCCTTCTCCTTCTCCTTCTCCTTCTCCTTCTCCTTCTCCTTCTCCTTCTCCTTCTCCTTCTCCTTCTCCTTCTCCTTCTCCTTCTCCTTCTCCTTCTCCTTCTCCTTCTCCTTCTCCTTCTCCTTTCTCCTTCTCCTCCATAGGTTTGGTTGGTTTTGTGTAATTGGATAAAAAAGTCCCCATTGTGGGCACGAGTGGTTGGTTATTGGGTTAAAAGTGAAAATAATTTAGGTGTCATTTCTTAATTGGAAAGTTTATCCTTAAAAGGCTTTGTAGAGAGAGATAAACCTCCATTTTTAGTTTGCTAGAGTGAAGTGCTGCAGAACTCAGGGTTTGTGAGACTGTGCCACAAATAAAAACTAATAAACATCTTGAGTCCCAACAAGAAATCCCATCATACATTTAATCCTGACCTTGGCAGGAAAAAGAAGCCAAGAACCCCTGTCCCCTCTGTCCCCTCTGTCCCACAGCGCCCATCCTCAGGGAATGCTGGCCCAGGGAATCACTCCAAGGTTCAAAGGATTGAACCAGGCAGGAGGAGAGACCTCAGGGAGGGGCTGTAAATTTAGTAAGAAGCTTAATAAATGCTCCTCCTGCCTTCATTATCCCAGGAGCTGGGATTTTGTGCCTGCCGGGGAAGTGTCTGGTGCTGGGTTTTGACACTAAGTGCTTGTGCATCCCAAATTACCCATTAGAAATTAATAAAGGAAATGGGAGTTAAATGAAAATCATCCCTGTGCTGCACCTAACGGAGCTTCAGGAGAGCTGGAGAGGGATTTTTGACAAGGCCTGGAGTGACAGGACACAGGGAATGGCTCTCCATTGCCAGAGGGCAGGGATGGGTGGGATATTGGGATATTTGAAGGAATCCTCCCTGGGAGGGTGGGGAGGGGCTGTGACAGAACCTAGGTCTGGTTCAGGGGTTCTGTGTGGTGGAAAACTCTTTTTTAACTTGTGTTTTTAAAGAAAAACGTAGTAGTTTTTGTTGTTTGGTTTTAGGGTAGTTTATTATAAGTTATTTAAAAGATTGGTTTTTTTGGCTATTGCGGTTTGGTTAGTAGTTTAAGTAGAGGTGTATATATATTTTTGATTTTTTTGCTTGTTTTTTGATTCTTTTTTTTTGGGTTGTTGTTATTTTTATATGGTATATTATGTGATAAATGTTTATAGTTTTTTTTTTAATATTTACTACTTATTTTAAATTGTGCTTTTCTATTTTAAATTAATTTGTAAGTGCTAATATTATTAAAAATATGGAGATAAGGAAGAAGAAAGAGGAAGGGAAAGACTGGTTAAGAATTTCTTTATCTTAAAACTTTTTATTTCTATGTATAAAGTAAAAACTTTTTTGTATAGGTGTTAAAACCCCCCTGTAGAATATTAATTTTTTTTTCTATTTTGTAATTATTTCTACTATAACATTTAAACCTTTGTGACTTCTTGTTCTTTTTGCAAAGTTGGTAAATCATTCAATGGCTTAAACTCAAAATCACAGCTGTTTTTAGCTGTCTGCCAGGGTCTCAAATGCTTCTGACTAGGGCTTGGAACTTCTAAAAATGTCTGAGGGACATTTTGAGTTCCAACAGGGCTGGAATGGAATTCCCAGAGAAGCTGTGGCTGTGCCATCCCTGGAAGTGTCCCAGGCCAGCTTGGACAGGGCTTGGGGCACCCTGGGACAGTGGAAGGTTTCCCTGCCCATGGCTGGAGGTGGAATTCGATGGATTTTAATGTCCCTTCAAACCCAAACCAGTCTGGAATTCCACGATTTGCAAGTTCTGGAAGTGCAGAGATGATGAATTCATCCATCAGCTGAGCCAGTGCTGGAGGAAATGTTCCCATGTTTTATAGGAAAATGTCTCAGGAATGAAAACAGTCATTTTCACCCCTTTTCCTTTCTCGTTTTGCACAAAGCAAACTTACAGCCAAGCCTCCTTTCCAAGAATAAATGTTATCTCAGTTTTTAAATTAGAAATTAAAGTCTTGTCAGCCCTGGGAGACAGAGAAGGAAACTCAGAATATAATACCACAGGAGACTGAAGGCTGGAAGAGAAGGGGGCTTAGTCAAATTATTTAAAAACACAGTTTTAGGTACTGACAAGCTCTTACAACCACTGGGCCAATGAGATGTCTCATAAAAATTCAGCTTTCTTAGGCTAATGCATCGCAGCCAGCAGCAGGGATGGATTATATCCCAACCAGGATTTGGGCAAAATGAGGGAAAACCAGCAAAGAGATTTCTGCTCCCTCCTAACACCCACGTTTTTGTCATTCTGTGGCAGAAAAGAGAGCTCAGCCAAAAAATAAAAAAAAAAAATCCTTTTAATATTACTAATAAATAACAACCCAGCCCTGCCTTGTGATGTCGTTTTCTCTTGATGACTGTGGGCCACAACCTGCAGGCTTTGCACTTTCCATGCTCCCAGTCCCCAAAACGTGCTGCAATCCCAAATTTCATGGCAATAAATCCAGGGAAATCTGGAAGATTTGCATCCAGTTTGCCCATTTCTGCTGGGGAACAGAGAAGGGCAGGTGGGAACCTCGTGGGAAAGAGGGTTTTTATGGAATTGCCATGGGAAATGTGGGTTATGAGGTGGAAAAGTGCAAAGGGAAAGGAAAGATGCCTTTTGATACAGGTTGGTTTTGGTGGTAGGACAAGAGAAAATGGAAAAAGAGGGGAGATTGAGGTGGGATATTGGGGGTGGGAGGATAAGGAGAGGCTGGGATGGAATTCCCAGAGCAGCTGTGGCTTGCCCTGGATCCCTGGCAGTGCCCAAGGCCAGGTTGGAACAGCCTGGGACAGTGGGAGGTGTCCTTGCCATGGCAGGGCTGGGGATGGATGGAATTTAAGGTCCCTTCCACCTCAAACCTGCTGCCCTGATTTTTAAAAGTGTTACGTTTTCTTTTATAGTTCTTTCAAAAGTTTTATAGTTCTTCTAAAAGTTTTCTATACCTTCTGATGTTTACATATTTCTACTAGAATTCTCACAGATGTTCATGTAAATAATGATTGTTTTGCATTCTTCTTTGTAAGAAGAGAGAATTAATAAACTGTTGGTTTGACCAGTGTGGTTGGAGAGGTGGCAATTCCATCCTCCAATCCACCGTCACTTTTAGCATTCTGTATATTACAAAGTCAGAAATAAAATCTGCTCTTTTTCTCTTTTGAACTTACCAAGCTTCTGTGTGCTCATTTCATGTCCAATAACGACACAAACCCTTTTTGGGATTCTGTGATCCCACAGCAGAAAAGATTCACAGGAATCAGCCCCTCACAACCTGCCCTGCTCTGTTTGCACACACAGAAGGGTTTTCCACACCTGAATCTCAAACACCTGCTACTTTCCCCTTTTACTCACACAAATTCCACATTTTTACGACTGGGATAAAGCAGAGCTGCAGGAGAGAAAGTGAAAAGTGCATTCCACAGAAAGCAGCTTTCTGACAAAAAATATGCTTTAAACACCCGGGATCTCGGGGTTTGTCAGGAAAAATTGACAGGAATTTGTCAGCAGAGATCAAGAGCCAGCTCTGGCCTGGCCTTTCCGGAGTCACTTTTCATTTATTTGTTTACTAAAAGCAATAATCCCTGTTGGTGTGGAGAGCAGGGGCTCTGCACAAGCTGCAGGAGCAGATGGAGGAGTTTCATTCCTTTAAACTGTTGGGATGGAGACAGGCAGGACACGGTGTGGGACCCCAACCTCCATCTGCTGCTCACACACCTTCACACCAGGCCCTGAATTCCATCCCAAAAAACCTCAATCTCCCCTCTTTTTCCATTCCCCCTTGTCCTACCACCAAAACCAACCTTTATCAAAAGGCATCTTCCCTTTTCCTTTGCACTTTTCCACCTCATAACCCACATTTCTCATGGCAATTCCATAAAAAACCTCTTTCCCACAAGGTTCCCACCTGCCCTTCTCTGTTCCCCAGCAGAAATGGGCAAACTGGATGCAAATCTTCAAGATTTCCCTGGATTTATTGCCATCAAACAGCACCAGAGTTTAGCATACATTACCAGCACGGGCTTTAAATCAAAGCAACATTTCTTAATCCATTATTTATAATGAATCAATTATTAATGGAGATAGCTTTTTCTCCCCTAATAAATTATTATAAACTCTGCTGTAACACGCTGTACCAATATGTACTATATAAATTATGGGATGTGGCTCAGGGTATGAGGAATTTAAGCAGCTCCCTGAGACGTTTGCTGGCACTGGGCTGGCAGCGTTGCATTTATTGCAACTTCGAGCAATCAGAGCTCCTCACTGCACCTCCTTTATTTGCTGGGAGAGAAAACCTTCAATAAATCACCTGGTAAAGCTCTGTATTATTTACACAGCAATGGGAATAAATGTATATGTATGTATAAATGGGGTTTGTATTACTGGAAAGAGGAAACCTTTTTCTTTCTGAAGTTTTTTTCTGCTTTCTCATCTTCAGTGCTGAATTTTTTCCTTCTTGTTTCTTGGTGTTTGTACTGTTTTTAAAATTTTCCTCTGTGTTTTTAGATCCAGCACTATGGGTCTGGCTTTGCTGTGTTTTCCCAACCCAAACTTGTGGCTGAGTGAGGGGGGTTTTGGCTCTGGTTTTGGGGTCCTCCCCAGAGCCCTGCAGGACCTGTACCTTGTGAGGAGGAAAAGAATCTCCAGAACCACAGTTCAGGAGCATCAATAAATACAAAATCCTTCAATAAATCCTTCCATAAATCCCCTGGTTAAGATCTGACATGAATAAATGTGAATAAATGTGGGGTTTATATTACTGGAAAGAGGAAACCTTTTTATTGAAGCTTTTTCTGCTTTCTCATCTTCAGTGCTGAATTTCCTTCTTGTTTCTTGGTTCTTCTACTGTTTCTTGGTTTTTATCTGTATTTTTATATTCAGTCTGGCCACAGACACTTCCAGGGATCCAGGGGCAGCCACAGCTGCTCTGGGCAACCAGGGCCTCATCATCCTAAAAGGAAATTATAATAATCACAATGATAATCATTGAAAAAAATCCCCAAAAATATGCAATGATTCCCAGGTGGGGTCTGGCTATAAGAACAGGGTGTCTGACACCCAGCACATCAAATCCTGAATGTATCAGGGCTAAACCTTCCTACAGCACTCACTCAGCCCCGTCACCCCTGATTCCATTGGAAAACCGCGTGGAATCCTCCCGGAGCAGCTCCAAATTCACCTCTCCAACAGCCTCATTAATTTCCTGAATAAACACAAAGGCCCAGCCTCTCCCTGGCCTGAATCCACACATTCCCCGTGTGCCAGGAGCACTTCCAAAGGCTCCGGGCCCCAGAGGTTTCCGTGTTGGTGGCGGATACCGCTGGGAGAGCCGCAATCAAAATCCCGCTTTTATCCTCGTATCAAAGCGCTGGCGGAGATTCGTTTCCATTTTAATGCCTCTCTTCTCCTGCTTTTAGTCATTTTTAGTCGTTTTGGCTTTAATAACGTCGTCTGCATTTAAAGAGCAAGTGAATTCCCTGCTTTCAGCTCGCTGCCTGGGTGGATCCTGACGTGCCGTGGTGATCCATATGTACAGAACTATATCCCAGAGAAGCTGTGGCTGCCCCTGGAATTGTCCCAGGACAGGTTGGACAGGGCTTGGAGCAGCCTGGGACAATGGGAGGTGTCCCTGCCCGTGCCTTTAAGTTCCCTTCCATCCCAACCCATTCTGGGATTCAGTGATCCATGTAAATCCTGGAAAGAGCTGCAATTCCAGGGTCTCTATGACAACGATGACAAGCCCAGGCTGGCTGTCACCGTGTTTCCTCCGTGCAGGATCCAGAGTTTCCCATCAGACAGGAAAATTCCCCCTCCACTACTTCATGAATCCATCTCTGCCTGGTGCAACCACGAGTGACCAGCAGGCGGTAACTGGAAGGAAAATTTCCTCTTTTCCCAGGAATACTGACCTCATCCCTGGAGGTGTGCACAGGTATTGGAAACGCAGACGAACCCAATAGGAAAAAATGAGGATGTCTGACTCAATTCAGAAGGTTGAATGATTTCTGTATTATAACTATGCTATAATGCATTAATATACTATTTAAAGGAGATACTAAAACTACAAACCTCCTTCTTCTAACTACCATATCTAACTCCCAACTGGTGACCCTCTCTGAGAGCCCAGCCCCAGGTGGGTTGGATTGGCCATCAGCTCAAACAATCGCCATCAGCTCAAACAATCCTCACCAAAATCCAACCAAGGAATCACCAAGGTAAACAATTCTCCAAACACATTCCACATGGGCAAACTAGGAGCAGAAATAGAAATTGTTTTCTCTTTCATTTCTCTCTCTGTGCACCTCTATGAAAAATCCTGAGAGGGAGCGAAATGTGCTTGCCACACACAGGAGCTGTCTCAGGTGACAGCCGTGGTGGCCCAGCTGTCCCCAGCGTGTCACCTCAGCTGGACATGTCCAACCCCTGCCTTCAGGAGGGCTCCAAGCCTTTCTTCCCTGGATCCATTCCCCCAGGCTGCTAAACCCTGGCATTGCTGCCATGGTTCAAGGACCTGCCATGTCGCCAAAGGACACCAGAACATTCCAGCTCCAAGAATGCTTCTGGAAAAGCTGCATTCACCAGTTTAATCAGTAAGGATTTTGCCACATGCTCCTAGTTTTCCTTGACTGTCGGAATCTGAGGTATTGGTGATTCCGAGATTGTAGAAAGTCTCTGTCTGTCAGCCCCGCTGCCAAAGCAGAAGCCATAATTGGTCTGTGCTGTTTCAAGGTTGTTTATTCTGTTTATCTCTAACATGTTCTGCTGCCCTGCCGCAGCTCTGTCCTGCAGGGCAGCGTGTGGGGCTCTGCCCTCAGTGGGATGGTACAAACATTAAATACCACAAACTACCTGTGCTGGATTTACAATAACGTGCCAATATCTGTCACCTACGTTGGACAGTGTGTCCCCAGCCTGAACCAACAGAAAAATGCCAACACCACAGTGAAACATGGAGGGCATGAAGAAGGAGAAAAAGGACAAGGCACACCCAATTTCCTCCATCTTGTCCCCTTTGGACCCCTAATCTGGAATCCTAAAATTTTACTTTTGCACCCGTGCCACACTTAATTATTGCTTATATCAAACACTCAGAGCTGGTAATTGATCCTGTAAGATTGAAAACTCTTTTCCATGGACAGAGATCACAGCCAGTGTCTCTGGGGGCTCTGTCCAGGGGGGTTCCTGACCCCTGCCAGGGCAGCCAGAGGGAAGCCCTGGATTCCCACACTTGACCTCCTGTGCTGGGGGTCAAACTTGCCGATCCTTAAGGTCCCTTCCAATCCCAACCATTCCAGGGAGTTTCTTTGTTTTCCACGGTAATGACCGAGCTGATTTTTCCATGGCAGGACCCCCGGGATCCCCCAGGTGGAAGCGGCCATCCCCCAGCAGCGCTGGAAATCATTAAATTGGAGCGGTTTCGGAGCAGAGCCGCGGGGATGGAGGAGGATCCCGGCCGATAATGAAAGACGCCGGGAACTCAATTTGTTTTCCTTAACGAACAGAAGGTTAAGAGAGGATCTGCTGGCAGCCTCTAATTACTTCTGGAATTTAAATGTGATAATAGAGGGCTCCCTGGCCAGGCAGATGAAAGTACACCCAACCCCGTGCCTGCGAGATTAAAATTCAGCCTTGAATTAAAAGCACCTTTTTAGCAGTGCAGGTTATTAAGCACTGAAACAACCGTTGAGAGATCTCCTGATTTGAAGAGGTTTTTTTTTTTCCCCACTCCTTTCCAAACCTAAAGCTTTAATTCAAATAGAAAAATCCCCAGGCATGTTTTACACGGGAGTTCAGGCCAGATAATCACGATGGCTTTTTGCCAACCTTATCAAGTATTAATGTGCCATCACCCCGCTGCCCTCCTGCTGTGCTCTGCTCATCAAGCAATGATTTTTGTCAGCAAACACAGAATTTCTCCAGCGTGGTGTCACCAGAGGTGGTCAGCAATGAGGACTCCAGGGCCGTGTCCATAAAACACCCTGGACGTGGTAGGAACCACCTGTGGGTGACAGCTGAGTGTTGCCAGCAAATCCCTGAGGGGTTTTTCCACCTGGATATTGAAAGGAGATGCTGGGACAGCGAAGGCTGGTGGCCATGGGGGCAGCTTGGGGACAAGCTCAGCTGGAGGCAGGAGCAGGAGCTGGAGAACCACCAGGAGGATGGAGAAGGTGCCACCAAGGGAGGAGATACCACCTCAGTGGAAGGTGCCACCACCACGCCAGGAGTCACCGTGATGGAAGGTGCTGCTGTGAGAAGATGCCACCACCACAGAAGGTGCCACCACCATGTGAGGTGTCACCACGATGGAAGATGCCACCACCACACGAGGTCCAACCTCTTTGGAAGGTGCCACCAGCACTCAAGGTGCTCTCATGATGGAAGCTGCTACCATGATGGAAAGTGTCACCACCACTCAAGCTGCCACTGTGCCAGAAGGTGCTGCTACCATGCAAGGTGCCCCTGTGAGAAGATGCCACCACCACACAAAGTGCCACCACCGTGGGCGGTGCCACCACCACGTGTGGGTTTTAAGCCCAGCTGGAGATGAAAACCCTTGGAGCTGCTCGCTCTTCTCCCTCATTCTGGTGGAATGGGGAGGAGGATTGGAGTCAAATTTGTATGTTAAGAACAGCTAAATCATGGAAAATATAGAAAAATCAATAATAATAATAATAATAGTTTAAAAAGCAATTTCTCACCATCCACTGACCGATTCCAGACCTCCCTTCCCAAATCCAGACCGACCCTTCTGGGCTGCTCTTTCTCCCCTCCACACCAGTCCCATGGGGCTGTTTTAGAAGTGCACACATGGAACATAAATCAAGAGCAATTTCCAGCGCTCTGGCTGTGGTTTGTGTTCCTCACACAGTGCAGCAGGTGGGATGGATGGTGGGATGTGCTCCCCACTGGAATGTGCCCTTCAGAGAGCTCTGGTGATTTGTCAGCAGACAAGAACACGGCTGAGGAGCTGCTCTGCCTTTGGAGAACTTCTACTCAAGCAGTAACGGGCTCGGAGTGAAAGGGGGGAAATTTAGGTGGGATTTTGGGAAGGAATTCCTGCCTAGGAGGGTGGGGAGGGGCTGATGGAATTCCCAGAGCAGCTGTGGCTGCCCCTGGATCCCTGGAATGTCCAAAGCCAGGCTGGACAGGGCTTGGAGCACCCTGGGACAGTGGGACGTGTTGGGGTGGGAATGGGGTGGGATTTAACGTCCCTTCCAACCCAAAGCAATCCAGGATCTCAGGACCTGCACTAAACAAGCCCTGTGGTCAGGAGATGCCACTTCAGTGACAGGGAAAACACCAAATGGGTTTTGGGAAGCTGTTGGGAACTGGGAATGAGGGCAGGGCCTTCAGATCTTGGTGCCTCCACAGGCAGGGCCTGGAAAAGGGCGAGGCAATTCATGGAGAGCAATTTATCCAAACGCTGGTGTGGGAACAATCCTGGGGATGCCTCAGTGCTGGCAGAGGCTGTGAAGGGAAGAAATGTTTATTTTGTGAAGGGAAGGAATGTTTATTTTGTGCCCTGAGCAGCAGGAACCTGAGCGAGTGCCCTCAGCACATCCTGCTCCTCCAACCCTGCCTCCCTCTGCAGTTTCACAGCTGACTTAGCTAAAAATACTCCTTTGTCCTGTACTTTCTAACTTCCTGCAGTTTCTCTGTAGTCAAAAGTGGAGCTCACTGCCAAAATCAGATACTCAAGGAGCTCTATTACTTATAAAATCAGCTGCTACCACGTGACAGCTGCAAACATCTGGAATCCATCGCCCGGGCTCCATGTGGGACTTGATCCTGCTCAAATATCAGCCTGGAGCTTGAGTATCTGCAGCTTTCTCAACCCCAAAACAATTCCTGCAGAAAGTGGCTTGCAGATAATCAAAAACTTCAGGGAGGAAAAAAAACAGGGAATAAAAAAAATAATGTTGTCAAAACAGAAGGATTTTTAAAAGATTTAATGGTATTTTTTTAAACTTTTTTTTAACTTAAGGGAAGTGTTTTCCTCCCTTTTTCCTCCAAGGGAGATGGGAAGTGTTTCTCATCTGTGGTGGGAAGGGAAGTGCTGCTCCTCAGCATCCCATGAGTTAAGCCACACGTGGAGCTGCTCCCTTGGGCAGCGCAGGCGGAGAGGAAACCAAATCCCAGCAGGATCTGGGGTGTCCTGGAAGGCTGGGGGAGCACACCTGCATCCCTGGGAGGTGACATGGAAGGGGGTCCATGGCATGGGACAATCCATGGCTGCCACAGGAGCGTTTGGCCCTGCCTGGAAAGTGATTCAGGAATTCAGGAATTCAGCCTTATTTTCACAGATTCACAGGGACACAGAGTTTGGGATGGGAGGGACCTTAAACCCCATCCAGTTTCACCTCTGACACCTCCCATTGTCCCAGGCTGTTCCAAGCCCCAGTGTCCAGCCTGGCCTTGGACATCCCAGGGATCCAGGGGTAGCCACAGCTTCTCTGGGAAATCCCTTCCCTACCTCCCCAGCCAGGAATTCCTTCCCAAAATCCCATTTAATCAACGTTCCTTCAGTGTGAAGCCGTTCCCTCTTACATTCTCCATGTTGGATAAACCAAAATCCTTTGGGTGCTTCTCCTGGAGTTGTTGGTTCTCCTTCCC